CACACAGACAACCCCATGACAATATGCGTTTTGTACTGCTGTTACACAGCACAAAACGCATAAAAAAAGGACTTTTTACGTTCAGCGAGCCATTAGCTGATATCAAATGTGGTTGCTGTATTTGAAGAGGGAAAAGCACGGCATACTTGATGCCCCCCAATGTCTTCGATATTTTAATTTCGCCCTGTGGGGCATGCCTTTATAAACGGAAAGCGCTCATTCTATAGATCGCTGCTAAATCTTAGACTCTCGTTGAGCGTTCACTAGTGATGTTTGCTGTCACAATCAGTTGCCAGACTAAGTTCCATCAGTTTTACTTGGTAATATTTCAGGTGACAGAACAGGACAAAGATATATGTTTTGTGAACGAAACCACCATTTTAACTGCCGAAAATATTCGGGTTGGAAACGAGCAGATCCGGTTAGCAATCCAGAATATGGCGTCCAGGCGTGTGATTTTCTTGTTTTGTATTATTGTCCTAACATTCACCTTACTTTTTCTGGACTGGTATAATCCGTAAGCGCACCAAAATATGTGCTTAATTTTTTATTGGTGAGAGAGCTCGAAGGTCGAGGCCCCTAACTGAGGCGACTTCATTTTCATCATTTTTTTTTTTTTTAAAAATTTTTATGTAATTTTTGAAGTCGTCTTTCTCACTTTGTAATCAAATTGCCATACTCCTCTGCCTTTAATAACAGGTGTTCCCGGAACTAAAAACATTTTTCCGCTGCTAGTCTGCAATTCTGTACAGCTATAACTTCGGTATTACAATTCTAGTTGTTCATTTTGCGTGCTTAAAATTTGCATATGTGTTAATGTTGTTAACTTGTGCATACCTTATTCTCACTCATAAAATGGCTCTTTTTCGTCGGCTTTCATGCAATTTTTGTGCAGCTGAAGAATCAGTCGGTGTTCCTCCCTTAATCACCCTTACGAGAGATTGAGGCGCTACAGGCTCGTCGTAGCAACAGCCACAGGCTGGCAGAGTTTTCGATGGTCATCTGCTTCCTGGCTTCTTGGTCAATTTGCCACTGAAGCAGGCGAACGAATCGTTGAAGGACTGGTTTTCTGATTTACGAAACACCCTTAGTTCGAAGTAGCACCACCTGTCGGCATACCATAACCCCCAGCGGAGATGTGATAGGATAATTTGTTTGCGAATACGCTCGAATTGCGGCTTGCCAGCGTAAACTGCATCACTGTTTTGTGAGGTTTTAGACTAACAGTATTCGTTAGATATGTTTT